GCTGCCCCTCCTCTCTCTGCCCCTCCTCTCTCTGCCCCCTCTCTGCAGCAGACGGACCAGCAGCAGGAAGTAGGCGGCTCAGCCAGCCGTTCTCAGCTTCAGTGAAACATCGTCAGGTCAGATCACTGAGAAGAACAATGGAAGGAACATCTCACTGTCTGATCTGTAAGTAGACAAGTTTTAGTCTCTTTCTGCTGGATCAGCATTTCTCTATGTCTGAGAGACACTGGAGACATTTTACTGGACGGATTTAATGATAGAATTACTGGGGGGCTGGATGAGTCTGTTTATGAAAGTGATCAGTCTAATAAAGTGACAGGAGGTGATTGTTGTGAATCAGCGCTGTATGAAAAAAATGATCAAACTTTTGATTTTTCCTTTATAAATAACAGCATCTTAATATAAAAGCAGAGGTAATAAAATAAAATCTGGCTGATTTACACAGTTTCAAAGCCCATTGTATTCAATGTATCCAGGTTTAGTTTATGATAAATATGTATTTTATTTATTCTCTAGTTCTGATCTTCTTGCTGAGCTGCTCAACACATCCAGGTTGGTGAACTTTGTTACATTAAAATGGTTTTAAATATTCAAAGATGTTCTTTGGATTAAACATCACATTGAAGAATTTAATTTAAAAATGTGATTTGGGTAATTATTGAATATGATGCTAATTATTATTAACAACTGAAATCATGATCATTGAATCTCTTCAGTCTCTCCAGCTGCTCTGACTGTGAGTCCCAGCAGATCTCAGTTCTTTGAAGGAGAATCTGTGACTCTGATCTGTGAGGATGAAAACAGCTCTGATGGAGGAACTGTGAGGAGAAACACAACCAGAGGAACCAGGAAGCGATGTGGAGATGGATGGGGGAAATCAGTTGGTCCTACCTGTAGCATCACCTTGTTCCCATCAGACTCTGGCCTGTACTGGTGTGAGTCCATGTCTGGATCCTCCAGCAGCAGCATCCAGCTCTCTGTCTCTGGTAAGATCAGACTGTGGAGTTAGTGTTGCTGTGTGGAAATGGATGAAATGCTGTAGTTTGTCTCTGTGTTGAGGTGGATCAGTGATCCTGCAGAGTCCTGTCCTCCCTGTGATGGAGGGAGATGACGTCACTCTGAGCTGCAGAGCAAAGAGTCCAGCCCACAACCTCCCAGCTGCTTTCTATAAAGATGGTGTCTTCATTGGCAATGAGTCTTCAGGTCACATGACCCTCCTCCATGTCTCCAGCTCTGATGAAGGCCTCTATAAGTGCAGCATCAGCGGTCAGGGAGAGTCTCCATCCAGCAGGATCTCTGTGGAAGGTCAGAGGATGAAAATATTGATTAACTTTGGTTTTCAAAAAAAATTGTTGGGCAATTATTTAAGAAATAAAACTTTATTTTAGAGAAACCAACAACCATTTCTGATCCTCCAACCACTTCTGGTTCTCCATCCTCTCCTCCATCATCATCATCTTCATCTTCCTCCCGTTTGTATCTGATTCTGGCTCTAAGATGCGGAATCGCTGTGGTTTTGCTGCCGACTCTGGTTCTACTGGTGAGACGATATTTTCAGAGAAAATATGGTGAGACGACACTTTAATTATTAATCCTCTGTTGGTTTAATGAACCAAATATTGACACACTGGTCGGCTATGTTAGTGTTTTCTAAAATATGTGTTTTATTATTCAATAATTATTTGACCAAATCAGAAACATTTACTCTGTTGACCTTTAGCTGATGTTTCTTCTGGTAAATGTTGGTACATTTCTTTCTCTCTGCTCTGCAGTTTGAGGTTTTTCTGATCACTGACTGATAAACTCTGCAGTCGTTCCTGTTCATAAGTTTAAATTGATTTTGTTCTGTAAGATGTTTCCACTCACAAAGGTCCTTCTAAGTCAGGTTCAGTTCATTAAACAGCATTTCAGCAACAAGGCCGTCCAAAGAGCTTCATGTGATAAAAACATAACAATGTCACCAATTATGAAACAATAATCATTACATTTTGTCAATCAAAATGATCATTAAATATTCAACAAATAATCTGATCAATGTTTCATTAACTTTGTTTCAACAGCAGCTCTAACCAGCTGGGTTTTTAATCTACATTTAAAGGAACTCAGAGTTTCAGTTCTTTTCAACCAATCAAGTTTAATCAACTCAGCAAATTTACTGGTTAAAATTTAAATATTATATCAGAGTGTTGAGACTTTGGTGTTTTCGCCATAATAACTCCATACCATGTGAACTGTAACATTATGGGTGATAAATGTCAGAGTTGAAGCTTTTTATTCTTGAACATTCGGGTTCTTGACCAAATTTGCTTCTGGAAGAATCTCAATGATTTTATTTTTACTCGCTTGGATCAGGAGGATGGAGAGAGAATGTAAGGAGAAAACCTTTTAGTATCGTTTTTTAAGTCTTTTATAGTTATTGTTGCTGAAATTTACCAATATTTGGGTTTTCTTTTAGCTTTTGGTGGATAGACTGAAACCTTAGTGAATTTTTAAACGTATTTATTTTAAATTCTGAAAGCTTCATTGGCTCTGATCAGTTCTGTGGCTGTTTAATTAAACGTTGTGTGTTAGCAAGAAGGTAGAGCAGGTCGGAGTCACTGAGCTTCCTGTTTATAATTATGTTTAGTTTGTATATTTGAGAGATGGTTTTTATTTTCTGGTATCAGATGCTGAGGAAACATTTGAGGAACTTTTTCAGGATTTTGATATTAATCAAATTCAACATTAAAAATTTTATCAAAATTAATTTTTAATGTTGATCATTTATAATTGGTTCACATAGTTTCAGTTTTTAGATCTTTTGACTTAAAGTACTTTAATATCTCTGATGGTACAGAGTCAGTCATGTTGTGTCTGAATTGTTTAGTTCATGTGAAAAACATTGTGGAAATGTTAAAAACGTGAGTTGAGTTCTGTGATCTTTTCCTGTGAAACGTCGTTCTGATGGATGCAAACTGTAACCAGTAGAGGTTATTTTAGGATAAGTTCATTTGTATTTATATTTAGGAGCGTTCATTTTCTAAGTCTAACACTATAGGAAAGTAAATAGTAACACCGTCAGTGTTGACATTTTACTCTGTCATGGTGTTCAATCTGTGATTTTCATGCTAATTTAGTGAATTTTAAAAACTCTCCTGGTGTTGATATGATACCACAGAAATGTAGTTTTTAACACTAATGGTTGAAAGAATTTTGACTCTTTCAAAAGTGTTGATTTAACACTGCAGCAGTGGTTACAGTGTCATTGTTACACAGGAATAATGAGAGTAAAATAAGGACTCTGAACTGCTTTGTTGCTGAAATGTTCTATACCAGGAGCTCTTTAACCCTCTGATGAGTATTTAATTAAAATGTATATTATTTTAGTTCATTCATTTTCAAAATGTAATTATGAAAATTAAGGAGATCTTGTAACATCAAAATCAGTGACAAAAATATTTTAACACGTTTTATAGATAAAATGTGTTAAAATGTTTTTGTCGCTCTTAAATAAACGTCACTGTCATGATTTGTGGATAGTGGAAGTGAGGAAGACACCGGTAGGCCCAGGTTGACATAATAGCAGCGTGGTTTAATGTAGACGACTCAGGAACACAGGAATCTGGCAGACGGCAGAAAACACGATGAACGATAGACGTGAACGATAGACGTGAACGATAGACGTGAACGATAGACGTGAACGATAGACGTGAACGATAGACGTGAACGATAGACGTACCATGACGAGGATCTGAGGAAGAGCAGAGACACCAGGTGGGATTAAATACGTCACAGAAACGAGACACGGCTGGGATCAACCAACAGGGAAGACAGGACAGGAACAGGACTAAACACAGAAAACCTCAAGAATAAATGCACTGAAAACACAGATCACCACAGTCATGACTTCCAACGACACCTGCCAGTGTGAGGTTCCTTGAACTTTGACCCCAGATAGGCCAACTATGGAGGAAAAGAGAAATATCTGAAGAAAACAGGACGTTCAATGCTAAGTGGGCAGATTCATTTGCTTTCCCTGCTGATGAGAACGGTGTGCTTAAAATGTAATGATAAACTAACAACAAAAAGTCAAACGTCTCAAGACATTTCCTCCATAAACATGCAGTCTTTGCTCAAAACTATCCGGATGGAGACGAGAGAAAAAAGCTGTTTCAGAAGTGATGCAGAATGCTGATCTGAGCAAAAACCACCTCAAGATGGATGAAGTCAGCAAAGTTTTATTGCTGCTCAGGAAGTAGTCAGGCAGGGGAAGCCGTTCACAGATGGAGAATATCTGAGAGTCCTTCATTAAGATTTCAGAACATCTATTCATGGACTTTAAAAACAAGAGTGAAATTGTGCAGAAAAGCCGGGACATGCCCCTCTCTGCAAGAGTGTGACAGACAGAACCATAAAAATGGTGGAAGACATCAGTTCAGCTGTGGCCTGTGATGAATGAAGACAAAGGTGATACTGAACCAACAGCGCTGTTCTGCCGCTATGTGAACTCTGCTGGGCCTCAGGAAGACGTGGTTGAGCTGATGCCACCAGAGGCCAGACAAGGGGGAGGCCGTCAGAGGAAGTCTCGGTTTGTTTAAGAGCCAAAGGAATAAACCCACCTGTGGCTGCAGACGGGGCACCGAGTGACAGGAGGAACAGAGGCTTAGTGGCTTTACTGCAGAAGTCTCTGGGCAGAAAGCTGCTGACTTCTCACTGCATCCTGCACCAACAGGCTCTGTGTGCTCCAGCGTTTCCTCTGGATGTTATGAATGTTGTCATTCAGATTGTCGATAAAATAATGGCGAAAGGTTTAAATCCCCGTCGGTTCAGTTCGTTACTGGATGAGCTGGAAAGCACGTATTCTGATCTGCTGCTGAACAACCAGGTCCGGTGGCTGTGCAGAGGCGAGGAGCTGAAACGCTTCGCCGAGAGTCTGGAAGAAGTGGAAACCTTCTGGGCAGCAAAGTTTCCTGAGCTGGAGCAGCCAGAGTGGCTGGAAAAGCTGCACGTCTTATATGAGCCACCTGAACACCTGAACACGCTTCAGGGTGAAGGACACTCAGCCTGCATGTCGGAGGAGGTCTGGGCATTCGAGCGCAGGTTGACAAGGATTTACAGAAAGGTTCACTGTCACACTTTCCCAGTTTGAGAGTTTAAAGAAGCTCACATGATGAATTTGGAGTATTTACATTCTGCCGTCATCGCAAAGCAAACATCGTTTGGGAAACGATTCAGTTCAGAGAGGAAAATCCACATTATCCTTCTTCCCTCCGTCCCTGAGCCTCGATCCATCCCTGTCCAATATGACGGCATTTCCAGGTGTGATCCACCTGATCTGAGATGGAACCGGCTGACCAACACATGTGGTGTCCAAGTTCAGCGCTTGACGGCAAACCTTGAAGATGTTTCCCGTCAGGAGGCCGTTCTTACTCAGGATCATAGATGGTGTGATGTTGAAAACCTCCTCAAACCAGACAAACCTGTGTTTGAAACTTGGATGATATCCTGACATTTATGTGGACAGGAAGAAAGATGCACTTGGAGTCCAGTGGATCTTTGGGTCCATATGTGTGAGCAGCTGTTCTCCACCATGAACTTTATTAAATCAAACACGCCTCACAGACGGCAGGTTACCATCCTGTGTGAAGATGAAGGTGACAAACATCCCCAACGTGCAGACGCTGCGCTGAGGACCAGAATCACATCCACCAAGTATGATAAATGTTTTAACTGCCTTTTATTTGGCATATATTAATATTTTTCAAATGTTCAGTGAAATAGACCTTTTATGTTTCAGGTTGACAGCTGACTGCACGGCGCCACTAGAAGGATGACGGCACAGAGAGACGGAGGACGGCCTGGTTGGTTTGAAGGCCGTGGATTAAGTTTCATTACTACTCAGATAAATGTCCAGTATTTTCCTTAACCTTCAACTCAACGTCTTTCTTTGGAGTTAAAATGTTTTGTTTCATGCAGAAATGTTATTTTATTTTCTCTGCAGTCGTTCATCGTTTTCATAAATGTAACACATTATAATTTGTTCATAAATGACATAAAGGCAGAAAAAGGTTTTGTGGCTCAGTGTTTTCTCTACTGTGTGAAACGGGTCCAAATGGCTCTGAGTGGTAAAGGTTGGCGACTCTGTGCTGCACAGATTCACTGGATTATAATGTTGACCTGAAAGAATAAAAACCAATAATTAATAATTCATAAACATGTAGCAGTGCCTTCACCTGCAGAACAACTAAAGCTTTAAAGTTATTTTCTCCACCATCTCATATCTGATCTGCAGTGAGAAGTGAAACCATCTTGTTCCTCCAGAAGCTCAGACTGGTTGGTTCAGACTGGTCGGCCTCTCTGTGGTCTTACTGGTTTCTTGTTGTTTCTCCTTTTTGGTGAAAAGTTTCGTCTCTAAACGGTCAAGACGTTTGTGGTCTGATTCTTAGTTTCAGATGAATTTCCATGACGTCTTTAGTGACTCATTGTTCAAAACCTGCAGACTTTCTGCTGTTCATCTGCTAAATAAAACATTTAAATATAATGAACCATGTTAACGACAGTTTGTTTCATTTTACAGCTGTTGACCCCGTGAAGATAAATAATGTTCGTTATCGACAGAAAACCATCAGAGAATCAGGTAAAACTTTCTACATTTAATATAAAGTCTGTTTCCTGCTTCTTGTTTTTCATTCTGTGATAAAATGATTCATTGTGACCAGATGAACTCAGTTCTGCTCTGAATCAACATGTTTAATCATTAAAACTGATTCTATTTTCTTCAGCAAATATTAATTCCTACATTTTTTCTTTCTCAATCTAATAAGTCAGATTTATATTCTCATTGTTTCTGATGGGTTGATGCAAAAACATATTGGCACCCTAAATAACTGCACATGTAAAATAATAAGTAGACCTGTTGCGATAAATAATAAATCAGTCAATCACACGATAAATTAAAATGATCTCGATAATAAAGTGAGGACCATAATACTGCTGCACTCTAAAAAGAAAAAAGTTGAACCAACTTAATTGAATTGCTTCTGTAGGTAACAAGCAA